GAGCCTTGCTGTGACTTCACTAGACGATGTCTTCTTGCAAGGGACAAAGTGTGCCATCTTTGTAAGCCGATCTACCACGACAAAGATGCTATCAAATGAGTTCGATGATGGCAGGTCCGTGATGAAGTCTATGGAAACTGAAGACCATGGTCAACGTGGAATCGATAATGGCTGTAGGAGTCCGTAAGGACGATGTCGAGGATTCTTGGATCTTGAACAGATGTCGCAAGAGAGGACAAAATCTTTCACATCCTTCCACATTTGGGACCACCAAAAATCTCGATAAATAAGCTCCAAGGTCTTGTTGAATCCAAAATGTCCCGCAGCTAGAAAAACATGGCGAGATTGAAGAACTCGGAGTCATGCTGGTCCTTTTGGGATATACAACCATTCGTCAAAGTATAAAAGATCTCCCTCCACCTTGAACTTGTCATCATTCGCACGCTGTTTGATATCAATGGCTACTAAATCTTCAATGGTCACGGCACATACCTGATTCAAGAAGTCAGCATCAATTGGCACAATAGTAGCACAAAGCCAAAATTACTCTGACTTCAACAACGTCATACATTGTTGATCAAATGCTGCTTCTCCAGTCTTTGGTACAAGATACGATCTCCTCGATAAGGCATCAGATAGTCCTTGCTGCTTTCCAAGTCGATAAGTGATAACAAAATCGAACCTAAATAGCGACATACTCCATCGAGCTTGATGTCGATTTAGAACTCGAGTCGACATGAAATACTCTAAATTCTTGTGATCTGTGTATACGGTCACTGGGTATGCAGCTCTTTCAAGAAAGTGACGCCATTCTTGGAAAGAATCCACTATAGCAAGAAGTTCCTTATCGTGGATCTCATAATTGATTTCAGCAGCAAAGAACTTTCGAGAATAGAATGCAACCAGATGGAGCTTCTTGTCTTCTCCCATTTGTGAAAGTACAGCTCCCAAAGAAAAATCCAAAGTATTAGTTTCTAAATAAAAGGCCTTTGTAAAGTCTGGATGTACCAAGATTGGAGCCATAGTAAATGTCGTCTTGAAGTCTTGACATGCCTTCTCCGCTAGAGGTCCCCATTCCAGCTTATCCTTGCATGTCAACCAAGTGAGAGGAGCAGTAACTTGAGAGTAATTCTTGATGAAGATCCGATAGAAGTTGGCAAAACCAAGAAAGCATTGTACGTCTCTAACCGTCTTTGGAACCTCCCAGGATACGATTGCTTCCACCTTCTTTGGGTCCATCTTCAAGCCTTCCGTAGTCACAACAAATCCCAAAAATTCCATCTCTATTTGGTGAAATAAACACTTCTCCAACTTGGCATATAGTCCTCGCTTGTATAGTTTCTCCAAGACCAAACGAACGTGCTTTTCTTGTTCTTCCTCATTTTTGGAGAATATCAAAATATCATTCAAATAGATGACAACAAAATCGTCAAAGTGCTCTCAAAAAATATCATTCATCATATGTTGAAAGACCGCTGGAACATTGGTAAGACCAAAGGGCATGACATTATACTCAAAATGGCCATACCTTGTACGGAATGCTGTCTTCCAATCATCTCCTTCCTTGATTCGTATGAGGTTGTAAGCTCCTCTTAGATCAATTTTTGTAAAGATCCTTGCATGTCCAAGTTGTTCTAAGAGACCAGAAATTAAGGCTAACATGTAACAATTCTTCTTTGTTACCTTGTTGAGGCCTCGATAGTCTACGCACATCCGCAACAAGCCATCTTTCTTCTTCACTAATAAGATGGGTGCTCCAGCTGACAATTTTGAATGACGGATGAAGTTTTTGGCTAGATTCTCGACGATGTACTTCTGCAACTTCGCCAACTCCATCTGCAATAGATTGTAGATTGGGCCAAAAGGCGGTTGTGCTCCTTCTTGCAAGTCTATGGCGCAATCATATGGTCGGTGTTCCGGTAGCATGTGGGCATTCTTCTTTTGAAACATGTCTTTAAAATCCTTATATTGCTCAGGTATACTTGTTGTCGAGATCTTCTCCCCGGTAGTTGGAGCCGCATAATTGACAAATGGTGTACCTTCTTTGGACGATCTTATAAACGCTCTTGCTCCAATGAATAAGGATTTCTCTATTCAGGGTTTTTTACTAGGCTTGCTCTTGGGTGGTTTTGTGAGAAAGGTCATCTTCTGCAACCTCCAATCTATGGATGGGTTATGCTTTTCCAACCAGGAAAGACCAAGAATAACAAGATTTGATGGGATTCTAATAATATTAAAAATAATATGGCTACTATGGCCCTTAAACATCACTTCTATAGGTTCTGATTCATGGCTGATACTACCAAACAATAAAGGTCGCCCATCTATGACCTCAACGTGAACAGGTTTGGATTTTTGTACTAAAGGGATCTTATGACGCTTTGCAAATTCTTCGTCTAAGAAACAAGCAGATGCTCTTGAATCTAATAATGCTAAGGTTCTCAGTTTTTGAGGGCCAATAAGCAAAGGGATTATAAAGCAAAGGGCAGGTTGAGCGGAAAGAAAGGAACCTGGTTGTTGTTGCAATATTTCACTGTCCAGCTGCACGGTTCCTATTGTGGCTGGGCATCCTCGTTTTCTTGAACAAATGTGCCCCTAATCCTAACAATACGTCAATTTTTCTTCTTGTGGCAGTTTCCAACTTTGTGGCCTTCTTCACCGCAATACAAGCATAGACCTTCTTCCATACGCCGCTTTTTTTCTTCTAGAGTAAGGGATTTGATACGTACCACATCAATTTGCATGTCTTCTACCTCTGAATGTGAATCCACACTACTTGTTGATATAGTTGGGGCATGGCAAAACGTATGTTGTCTTAAACGTTGATCTTGGTGGCGTTGGAATAGGCGGTTATCGTACTTCACAACTTGGCTAATAGCTTCGTTGAGCATTTGCGGATCAGGAAGGGTTAACAGCAAATCCTTCACATCGTCCCTTAAATCCCAATAGAATTGACTCATCAACGCTTCTTCATCCCAATTGATGTTGCATGCTAATTGCCTGAAGTCCGATGCATAGACTGATGTAGAGCGCATCTCTTGTCGTAGTGACCGGATCTTTGTTGTAGCCCATCAAACCTTGTAGTGTTCACCAAATGCTTCCGCAAACGCCTCCAAAAAGGTTTCAAAGTTGTTTAGTAAGGATGATTGTTTCTCAAACAAAGGAGCAAACCATGATAGAGCTTGCCCTATACATAAGGTTCCAACAAGCCCAACACATGACTCCTCCGTTGAATAGCGTTCGGGCTGTAAAACTGTTATCAACCTGATTTGGTTGACAAATCCTCAAAACTTGGAATACGTACCATCGAACTTGTGTAGAAGGCTAACTCGGGGCTCCTTATGTTGTAGAACCAACGGTGCTTGTTGAACCTGAGGCAAAGTTGCTTCTCCAAGTGCAGAAGTTTGAGGCTGGTGCAACCTAGATTGTGCCATCCCAAATGTTCCATCATTATGAAGCCTTGCCACCACTCCTTCAATCTCTGCAGTTCTTTGTGATAACGTAGCGAGGGCATTCATGATAGCATCTAACTTGGACTCCAAACTTTTTGTCATACTAATGTCTTGGCCTCCGGCCATTCTAAGAGAAGGATAGAAATGACTCTATAAGAAGACAATATTGGTTTAGAGGAGGGTACTCCGCAACCTCTAAAATGCCTTAAGAGCTTCAAAAAAAGGGGTAATCCACTCTCTCCAAGGAGAATAAGACTCCAATATTGTAACAAAAGAAGTATCAGTTTAGAGGAGAGTAATCCGCAACCTCTAAAATGCTAGTACACTTCCAAGCAGAGAGATAATCTACACTCTAACAAGGAAGAAACTAGCTCTGATATCTGAAGTGAGTGAAGTCTCGACAAAATGTCACGGACACAAAAATACAGACTCGAGATCTAACAAGAAGTTCAAGAAGAACTCGCAAGAACTAGATTAATCAAATGAATACAAGACCAACACCTGAGAGGTGAGCTAGAGCTCCAAGAGATGTATTGTCGAGATTGAAGAACTCTTCAGCCTCGATTCCAATATATACTCCTATTTAGGAAGCTTCTCAAGCGACTTTTACCAACTAGAAAGCTTCTAGAAGGTTCTAGAAACTTGTCTCTAGAAGGTTCTAAGGACTATGTCCCTAACACAATAACAATAAAATCAACCAAGTGTACTAAAATTATTGAATATTAAGTATTTGATTTATTACTTTAAATAAACTAATTTGAGATTTAGCATTGGATTTTTTTTTAATTTAAAAAAAAAAAAAAAAAAAAAAAAAAAAAAAAAATCTAATCTTCTATAATGTCTTGGAAAGCTTACAAAATTTGAAACATGAATAATATTTTTTTTAAATACCAAAATTTATATACCCAAGATTTAGAGAGATTTCACTATTTAACTGATTTATTACTATTTTTACCAAATATACAAAAATATTCTTAAAACATTATTAAAAATAAACAGGAAAGTACCAGCACAAATTACATTCTACAAGGAATCATTTTAGAAACTATTACGAAGACTCATGTGAATACAAAGACTCATGTGAATACAATGAAAAGAAGAAGAAAAAGCAACACTTACTTCCAACAATGTGATTCTTAAAATCTGAATTAGATTACTTTATACCTGTAAAGTTTAAGATAAGACTTCTCTATTGGTTTTGAATTCAAATCGATTGATACCTCTTCCATGTGTTGAACTCACACAACAAGGTGTTTGAAATTTCTGTCAAATCCTTTACTGGCTATTTATTCACAATGTTTAGTATTTTTCAGTGCACTAGAAAGAGAAATTGTAGAAAAGCAGCTGAAACGGGAGAAATGAGGCACTAATGTAGCATTTACAGAGATTTCTCATGGTGACCAAACAGTGCAAAACAGTCCCCATTCTCAAGTTTTTGGTATCTAGAACATAAAAAGCAGATATGATGCAGGGAGTGACCACAGACAAGTGCACAAAATGAGCTTTTCTTCGATGCTACAAAGCAAACTGCATTCTCAAGCCTGGTACTGATACCTTCTGCACAAAACTATGTGAGGTTGGAATTCATGTTCTAGAAAACTGCCATTCAAACATTGGGTACATTACTCGTAGAGTCTTTGAGTAAGTGACTGTAATCATCTAGGTCGGGAACCATTAAAATGAAGTGGGTTTCTCAGGGTTGTACAACTGATGTCAGATTCGACATATAGATATGATACATCTTTTTCTTATGAAAGTTGATAACAAAAACACATACAAGTTGGGGTAGTTGAATGACATAGTTATTGAAATGCAATAGGGTAAAGTATGGTCATGACCAACAAGCATTTAGGGATTGGGACATCGAAGCTACACGAATGGACAGCTAAAAGATGGGGATTGGAATCTGTCTTGAGGAAGCATGGGTCACGAGCTGATGGAAATTCCAGGCAACTTTGGCATTACCTTTCAGTGGAACAATTAAACCTCTCCATTCGTGACTTCACAACTGTTTCAATAGGAAGTGGGATGTTAATGGCAACGATCTCTCGATTCACCTGTACACAAGATAGAAGCATTGCAAGCTTAGATTTTCACTGAAGCGGAAAACCCCACCTGAAGGAAGTAATGGCAGAGACGCAACGCAAGACAGATGAGACAAATTCAACGCTGTGAAGCCACATGTGAGGAACTGCTGATTGCAACCGATGTCAATCATGCTCGTATTCCATATTCTACAGTCTTTGTCATGTTTGTAAAAAGTCACGTAAAATGGATCTTCGCAGCTCTCGGGAGTTAAATGCAGGCAAATTGTACAGAGATTCTCCAGTCAGCAGCCAGTCCGAAGTGTAGGATGGATGTGGATTAAAAAAAAAGGTTCAGCGATTCGTACTCGCACTGCCACCTGAACGAGGTTTAGGCCTTCGTTGACCAGGAGATAACTCACGGCTCAGTCTCTCTTTTTCTCTAAGCTTCTTGCGGATTTCCTTCTTCCGATGAACAATCTCTGCATAGAGTCTTTCACGGTATTCACTAATCGTGAGCCTGAATCATCAATCCACCACTGCAATTAGCACTGCTTGCAGAATCATATCTCGAACAGTCTGATTCATATAGTGCAATGAGTTTTTCATGGATGAGCAAGCTTACTTGGTGTTGTCATCAATAGGTATGCGTATGATTCGACTGCAGATAGGCTCATCAATTGGATTGTGAAACTGGGCTAGGTATGGATGTCGCAGAGCATTCTGGAAACAAATGGCCATCATTAGAAGATCAGATAGCACTGCTTCTTCAATGACAACTGCCACCATGCAATCCGGTCAAAACATAGAAGAAGATAGCGTAGCGACAACCTCTGCTGTAATGCGTTTGAACGGATTGAAATGTAGCAATTTCCTTAGCAAATCCTCTGCTTCGGACGAGGCTTTTGGAAACACTTGGAGGAAAGGCCTACAAGACATTCAAATTCCAACAAACTACACTCAAAGCAATGAAGGCAAGTATCCTACATGTGACTCTGCCAATAGTATTTGGAAAGTCAGGTGGGTGAACAGAACATATCAAAACATGCCAGAAATGTCGTACTTGGGGTCGATGGGCATACTGTCCAACATGGTTGCTGCAAATGGAGATTGGAGGGCAGCGATATCATCCTACGATCACGTGTTTCCCAAAGTCCGCAAAGTTTCATACAGTAAGTTGAAATGCTCACTTTTAGTATATCTATATATATATATATATATATAGGAAAGGCCTTCTACTCTTGTTGCAAGCATGAAAAAACTAAACAGAAGCCAAGCGGACCTTAAAGTCTTACAAGAATCATATTCCATTTCACGGTACCCAGTGAGAAGATTCATGAATCTCGAAGAGTGGGAGTTACCGGAGCAGGTCTTCCAATAACTTCCAGTATCTTCTCAATCTGGTTCATCGTCGATGTTCCTGTTAATTCACACACTCGTAAAGTTTTCTGACATGAAATGAATTAATCAGAATGGTACTGATTAAAAACTAGTAATCGAGGTGAAAACCAGCTTCTTCCTCATCGGTTATCAACAATATTTCGAATTAGGGAATTTTTGCTACTGAAATCGATTTACAGATTACTTGTTTAGATATTGATTCATAGATTTAAACAAGATTTTTTTATTATTACCAGGAAAAACAGGTTTTCCGTTCAGAAGTTCTCCAAGTATACAGCCACTGGACCACATGTCAACTCCAAAAGTATATCTGCACGTGCAGAATTGTAATTTTCAGACGAAAGTGTTTGGAAAGTGTAAGATCATTATCACCAGTTGAACCTATTATACACATAGAAAGCTTCCTATGCTTGACATTGAACACATCAACTACGCTTACCCTTAGGAAGGGTACTAAACAAGATAAATGAAAATAAAATATATTGGATATGATACTCTTTCTACTCTTAAGAGCTCTCAGCTCATAAGAGAAAGAGTGAAGCTCACTATTGCAACTTGATTTTCTACTGGGAAATTGATTCTCATTTACAAGTTTAAACTGCCTCGTTTATGTACAATACTTCAGTACTTTCAAATAGAAAACAAATTTCTGAACTGGTTTTGGAGAGTACTGGGTAGACCCAAGAAGTATCTCAGGTGCTCGATACCTGAATCCAGTTCAGTGGTTAGCAGTGTTAAATATCGAACAATATAGCCATGCAGAATATATATGTTTATTAATCAAATAGGATAAATATATGTCCACTTATTTTTAGTTTGCACCTCCTCCGGCAAATACTAGTTCTCAGTAATCAATGTCTCTTGCATGCTTTAATGTTCAAATACCAGATAAATAATTAGATAATGAGAACACATGTCTTGAAAATTAAAATGAAAAAAACAATCACCAACGAGTTGCAACATAGTCTGTCAGAACAGCAGGTGAATTTCCAGCATCTTCCTTCAATTGCGCAACCTACTTTGCAGACGTGAAGTGGCCATTTATTTAAATGATATGAATTAGCACATTGAAACAAAAGGAACCTCACAGCATTGTTTGTTCTCAAGCTGTAGAAGTATAGATCGACCAAAACACCTCACATGCATAACTAAATTCAGTTAAAAGAGAAAAAATCTTGAGAAGAAGAGAGTTACCGATCGCGCGAGTCCAAAGTCTGCAACCTTCACTTGACACTCCGAGTCGAGTAACAAGTTACTTGGCTACAAAACATGGGAAAATAAATCAAACAGCTAGTGAGAAAATGGCTTTTACAAAGAACTAGTAGCTTCTATAAAGGCATAAATAGACTGGTGATGTACTATTTTCATTATAAGTTTTACCTTGATGTCCCGATGAAGTAACTCTCCAGAATGCATGAATTTCAAAGCCTTGAAAAGTTGATACATTATAAACTGCCAATTTCGTACCACTCATCTATTAGTTCTAAAAATTTAATGGCTTGCAGACAGCGCTTGTTTTAAGGCATCAGCAGCTTGCGGAAACATCAAATTGATTATTACCCCTCATACCTGTTTATGAATTTCCTCTAGAATGTTTGCCCTTATCACAGCATGCAAATCCGTTTCTGGAACACGAAGTCACTAGATAATCAGGGGCTGCGATACATACAACCTCCTAAGCTGAACACACAAGTTTCACTTTGATACATTTTTGTTTGAGCTCGTTCCAATTCGTACATATACTGTATTTGAAATTGTTGAAACTCTTGACTCGTGGCTGCATTTAACTTACCCATGTACTCAAACACAAGATAAAGATCTCGGTCATTCTCCGCTTTCAATACGTTCAATAATCTGCATCCACATGAGAACTCCGCTACATTTTGTAAACAGGATTGTTCTATGTAATCACACAACATAGCAACTAGGATTCTCGACATTGCAGAAATTGCTGTGAAAACTCTATGACGATGAATTAAGATGACCAGTTATGCAAATCTGCAATGAAATTGAAGATCTTACTTAATGATGTTCTCATGGTCATTCATCTCTTGAAGAAACATCACCTCTCGAAAGGTTCTCTACATTTTTGTACATTTTGTTATTAAATTCATATATCTTACAAAAATGTCAAGCGCGCCAATCGAATCATCTAAATTGAACATCAATCATAACATGATAAAAGCTGACATCCAGGGATTTTGAAGAGTGTGTTTACACTGTAACCGATACCCAAGTTCATTCGAATTGTGTATCGCATTCATACCAAGTGAAAGAAAGTATCGGAACACGCGAAGGTGGTGAGTGGCGATTGCTCAAGTTACCTGGGCATCAGTTGAGTTTTGAAACGCATCAAATATCTTTTTGAGAGCCACAACTTCATTGCTCCTTCTATCGACGGCTTTCCAAACGATACCATACGCCTGCGCCGAAACTCTACTTCAGAGACCCTCAACCATTCCAAAACCCTAACATTTTTGTTCATAACAAAGCACATCGTTACACTGATCTTCGTGTCACCATAGCAACACCATTCCATATGTGAAGTTTCAATGGATGTGAAACTCAGCTCTGATCTCGTAATTCAGGAAACTTCATAGACCTGCAGCATCTTAACAGTTCAGAATCACACTTCTATCATGAACAAGAACACTTACCCCTTTACCAAGTTTCTGTCCGACGTGGTATTTTCGAAGCACATGCTTGTCGATGTCTTCACTCATATTTGCCTCCCCCTTCGAATAACAGGAAACGCAACAATCCACTCCCAAAAAACACGCCTCAAAATACCAGATCACAGAGTAATTCAGAAAAAAGGGAATAATTTCCTGAGAATCTCCAGCCAGAAACTGTGCAACAAAGAACCCATTCGTACTACCAACACAACGGAATGAATGGCTGAGAGACAGCCGAGCACAACCTAATGTGACCCATACTCCCAGAACCACAAAGATGGGCTTGCAGGTATTAACACCCACTCACAACAATCAGTGCAATGGAGCCCTGCAGAGCACACAACAACAAGGCTCCATCAGCGGGGCATGGGAAAGAGCCTGGTGGATACCACAAGATGTTACCCACATGACGAATAAACACAAAAAAGCAAAACGGTTGACATGCACAAAGTGAGGGAAAGTAGTAGACACACATGGAAGCATAGATAGATAGATAGATAGATAGGTATATATATATATATATATATATTCTAAGCATGGAAGAGCACAATTGCAGTACACAAATGGAGGACTGATCCACCAGTTGTTTGCACCTCACTCATGGAATTGTAGCCTAGAATTTCACCAGCTTCATCTGCTGACAGGAATGCACACCATTCTGCTAAATCATGTGCAGTCTTCCTTAGGGCTTTCATGCAGTGATATTTTACAAAGTTTTTTTATTTTTTGTTATGGAGTCAAATGGCCACAGCTACTCCATGCAGCACTTTGACTTTTGTAGGAATGTTTCCATAGAATTCTTGTTTGCTTTTGAAAGGAATTCCATACTTCTATGTATTTATTCAATCTGCATTCTGGATATATTCTGCATTCTACACTGCCTTCAGCAGTGAAGACCCATACTAATAAGCCTAAGAGGTGTACAAACCAATGCATATCACTGTAACCCAATTTGGTGGATTTGATTGGATTGATGACTTTGTTATTGAGAAGTTATGTTTTAGTAACAAAGAAAGGAACTATAAACATAGATAATTGTTCACACATTGTAACCATGCACAATTATTCAAGTTTTTAGCAATAATTAACAATACCATTATATACAAAAAATAATATAATGGATCAATGAATGTCTGTATTTTGAATTTAATTATGTTTAGAAGCATTAACTAACAATTATAATAGTTGTGTATTGTGCTTGAGAGGAATTAAATATTTTGATATTGTTGTTTATAAATATGTATTAAATATTGCACAAGATATATTACAATTAGATGGAGATTTTGATTGAAAAATGATATTTATTACTAAAGTGTACCATTTATTATGCTTCTATCACTTAATTATCCACTTTATTCACAAAATTTCTAAATAAAACATTATATATTTGTAGTTGATTTTTAAAGATTTAATATATTAATGAAATTGATCTCAAGAGACTATTGATGACCACAGAATGAATATTGATGAAACAATCTGTTTTATAGTATAACAAACATACAAAATCCATATAAAAACAGTGACCACTTTTAACTATTAATTTGGAAATTTCAAAAACAACAAAATTTACTCTTTGACCAACCTATAATACTATAAATAAATAAAATACATAAACTCATTTTTACATTTTTAAAAATAGATTTCCAAAAAATCCTTAATGTTGTTATAGTGTTTTAAAAACAATTATTACACCTCAAAAACTATGAACAAAGCATATGAAACAACAAAAAAAACAAAAACAAAAACAAACACTTTGCAACACTCAGGCACCGGGCAGAATAATTAATTAATTGGTGTGGAACATAAAAGGTGTCATTTACAACACTTTACAACAGTTTGCAAAATGTTCCACTTTGGAGAATTCGTTTCTAGAGAGGGCTAAAGAAGGACTACTATTACAACTACAACTGCAAGGAAGGATGCCTTAATAGTGTAGTTACTAAGTCATTTAATCACGAACTAATTTATTTACGAAGTTATTTAGTGATTAATTAACAAGTGTGGGTATGGTGCTGGCAAGGGAAAGCAGCCACAACAACAATAACAACACGTGTCCCCCTAATAAACATATCTCTCTCTCTCTCTCTCTATATATATATATAAATATATATCTCTCTCTCTCTCTCTATATATATATATATATAAATATCTCTCTCTCTCTCTCTCTCTCTCTCTCTATATATATATATATATATATATATAAATATATACTTATATTATAGACCCTCACATTGTCATACCCAGACCAACAACTTGTGAAAACGAATCTGTTGACCCCTCCCCCTGGAATCTATCTATCTATTTTCATTTCTTTAATTAATTATTTATTTATTCATTCCCAGTTTGCACAGTGGTCGTGTTCCAGGCATCTGCCCGCTGCCCCGACGGAAAAGACGAGGGATTCGTCCTCCTCGTCAAAGCCCCTCGACGAACCAGCGACGGAGATCCGACGAAAAATCCACCGAATGAACAGGGCGTCGAGATTCGGAAGTAAGCAAGTAAAGCAAGGAAGGAAGGCATCGCCATTGCCTGCTCCTCGCGTTTTTCTTCAGCTGCTTCGTCTCGTGGTGCTCCGCCATCGCTGCTTAAACTCTCGTTGTTTAGCCTCTGGCTGTTCTTGGCTGGCTGGTTTAGTTTTCTAGAGTCTTTGAGGCGATACCGAAAGTATTATATATATATATATATATATATATTTGTGTGTGTGTGTTTATTTATTATTACGGAGTAAGAGGAGGAGGCGGAGGAGGAGTGTGAGGAGAGGAGATGAGGTGAGATGAGATGAGAGTTTTTTACGGTGAGAGAGGATTGCGCTGCGGTTGATGGCAGGACCCGGCGTTGCGGACCTGTGGTTGGAGGGTTGTTGTTGAGAGTGTTGTGTCAGGGTGCGAGTAGTAGTTTGGGGGATTTTTTGTTGGTGGAGTGTGGTGGAGGAGTGGGGAGGCGGGGAAGACCGTAGACGCGATGGAAAGTTTCACGAGTTACTTCATGGGGAAGACAAAGGAGCCTGAGGGGAAGGTGATCATCTCTTCGTGTTTTCTTCTTTTCATTTATTTATTTATTTTTTCTTTCTCTGTTGCTTCTCGATGCGTTGATTTTGGAAAGTTGATTGGCGTGGGAGATGGGATGAATTGTTGGTGTGTCGCGCAGTGCTCTGCTAGGGTTCCTCCTCGTGTGTTGGTCTTAAGGATTAGTGCCATAGTCTGACGTATGTTAGGTGCGCAGCGAAGACTTAAACTACTCAACTGAAACAGGGGTTTGTTTTTGTCGAGGGTGAACGTCTGTCATTCCTTGTGAGTAGGCAGTCATTCCAGGTCTTTCAGAAGTCATTCAATCGATTAGATCAATCATATGGTTTTCCCATTTGCCTTTCCAATTACTTCGTTGTGTTTTTATCCGCTCTCTAGCACTAGTTGGATAAAATTGTATCACGCTGGGATTCGGAGGGTGAGAATCCTTCTGATGACGCTGTCAGGCAATTGAAATCTCGGCAATACCGGTTGCGTTTTAGTTTCTCTTGATTTTATACCTCTGATAATCGGCTTCAAATTTTATCTCTCCAGCTACTACCGTGATCGTCTGTTGCAGCCGAAGAGAATCGCAGCATCGTAGCATGTTTCACTGGCAGAAAATGGAAGAAAACAAAGCTGTATAAAATTTGAGTCTTGAAAGATGAAATTCAATCATTGGTTCTTACAAATCCAAGACACACATTGATGGCTTTAACTGTTGGTTGAGAATTGTCACGAAGCACAACCAAACACTAACGATTCTGGTCTTACAAATTTCAAAATATGAAAGATGGAGACGCAAGATTTCCTAGGAGCTATTGTCGTCAAGTATGACGAAAGTGCAGAGCTAGAGTAAGTATTTTCGTCTATTTGCTGACGGCCGTATTTTTCTTTGACAGATTGAATTTTGGAATAACCCAGAACGGTCTGGTTGGCTAATGAAACAGGGTGAGTTGTCATTGTCGTTGTGCTCAACCTTTGCAGTGGCTTTGTTCTATCACTCAAAAAACGCCGCTATTCCATCTGCGACATATATTTTTTCTACCTTGTTGGTAATCTGTTTCTGCAATGGCTGGAGTTTATTTTTCATGAATTCAATATAGGATTGGCTTTCATTTCTGTTTATACCGCGTGAGCGACTATAATTTTTCACTCTATTGTGGTCTTTTGTGGTCAAGATTTGCTGGAATGTTTATAATCTGCTCACGTACGAACTGGGTCGACAGCCCCGTGTAAACTAGTTGGTTGACCTCTTCTTATTTGAAGACAGTCCCATAACGTCAGTGGATTGTTCGAATTGCAGGAGAGTTTATAAAAACATGGCGCAGGAGATGGTTTGTCTTGAAGCAAGGTCGCATTTTCTGGTTCAAAGAGCAACAGCTAACCCCTGTAATCATTAGACCTCTCGTCCGTGACTACGTACTATTTTTTAAAAGTAGAATAGCATCTTTAGGCACAAGTTAAGGCTTTAGTTCTAATATTGGTGAACTTAATTGTGTGCAGTATTCGAAACCAAGAGGAGTCATTCCAGTTGGAGGCTGTTTGACGGTTAAAGGTGCTGAGGATGTGCTTAATAAACAGTTCGCATTTGAGCTCTCTACCAACAGGGATACAATGTATTTTATTGCAGACACAGACAAGGTAGGTCTTCCAGTATATGATCGTATTTTTATTTTGTTTGAAGTTGTAACTGTGGTATGGCGAACCAGACATAAGAGTTTGTTGTAAATTCTATTTGAACTGTTCTGAATTGTCAACCTCACGTAGAAATTCTGAAAGCCCCTGATAACATCTGTGGGCTGTTCATTATTTCATGGTTTGTGTCTTTGATCTCAAACTCTGTTAGCTTCTAATGGTCAATGTTGCTTCCTGATGTTTGTCTTGTACAGGAAAAAGAGGATTGGATTAATGCTATTGGCCGATCCATTGTCCGTCATTCCAGGTCGGTGACAGATGACGAGGTTTTGGACTATGACAGCAAGCGCGCTTCATAGGAGTTGATCTTAGGCATTTTCTCCCAGGATTTGCTCGAGGTATTGGATGCGAGTTCCTTATAAGCAATACTTTTGGTGTTTGAAATTGGAAGCCAGTAGCTGTCAAGGCTCACCACAGTCCAGCATAGGGACCTATAGTTTATTGTAAGAAAATTGTTGTTACTTCTTTTGAAAAGGTTTAAATGACTGCTTCTCAGGGTGTCCTAATAACTTGTAATACATACAAAAAATATTCTTTCTGAAACTTCAGCATGTTTGGAGTTGAAAGAAGTGTACAATCTGTGATGGAATCTTTGATGATGTGAGGATGAGATAGAGATGAGGTGGCTTTTCCATGAGGGGCTCGTAGATATCCTTAGGGCTTGACTACTTTTTTACAGTTCATTCAGTGCCAATATTGCTTTAGCAAGTGATGTTTATAATCATGACACGTAGTACTGTATCTATCGAATTGCTGGGTTTTACTTGCTACTCACTCAGGTATTAGGTAGTCTGTTGTAGAACGTAACTTGGGATGCCGTGCGCACGCATGCGTGAACCTTCATGAGTGTTCAGTTTCTTCAGCAAACCGTACACTAGCCTTTATACAACTTGCGAGATCGAGCAACTACAAGACCAGTGCACCGCCAGTTGAAGTGTGCACACTCACAGGGGTGCCGAGGGATTGGAGGTGAACATTCAACGACATATGTGCGGAAATGTGATTCGGTGCTCATGAACAGATGTCAATAGGTGTGAAGCATGGGTAATGACTAAACTGCTGGGGACTTCGAAACACTCTATTGCTCGCTCGTCTGTTCATAACTGTTGGTTGGTGGAGCCGCCATTGGCAATGGAGCTGCTAAGTAAGAATCTTTAGCAGCTGGATTCCTCAATTCCGCTAATTCCCGCCCGTTCTTCCTTCCATGTCGATTCCTTTTTATCACTCTCTTCGATGAAAATATCGATGCTCTCCATAGGCGTGTCAAATCCTTAGAAATCTTATGCCACTTCAATAGTGTTTTGATTCATAAGAAGCCTTTCCTACAATGTAAGATATTGAGCTTCCTCTCTTTGAACCTTCAAGTTTCTATCTCTCTGCGCGTCACGTACAGTTGCACAATTTTGAACATCTAAAAATGAGGTTCCAGGTTTTACATGCAGACCGCGTCATTGTGTCTCTCGCTTAAAGATCCTCCTCCACAATTCTGTTGTTACTCCCACCGGGCCAGGCGTAAAACTCGCTTAAAGCCGGGACAAACAGTCTGTTGGGGGATAACAATCCAGATATCTCGGATGTCAGCCTTTATAACGGCAGCCTTACGTGATGCTTTAAGCTTAGATCGGACCAGCTAGAATCGGTTGAAAACAGCATAAACAAGACTCCAAAAGGATGATTCGCGTAGCTCTCCGCTGCTGTTCACATTGTACACACATGGTTTAAGGGGACCGGTCCTTTATTTGGTAAGCTTGTTTACTAGCTACACTGACCGCTCCTGAAACTGATTTGATGGTCTGTTATCAATCAGGGAACCAAGCATTTCCCATTCAAACACCGGACTTCAGCTTCACACTCATCAGGGTGCTCATCAACTGACCTGGAGGCCAAAATGTAAGCTGAAGATGTAAGCTTGTACTAGCACAACCGTATGAAATACAATACCCTTGAATTTAAGTAACATTGGCATGGTAAGAACACGAAACCCAATTCAAAACCTCATGGGCATCTGTAGCAAGTTGATTGGAACTGTTTCCAAAGATGTGAAGTTGCATGAAGAGCGCTTCAGCATCTTCAATGTAATTTGCATATACTGGATTTCTTTGTCAATATGGACTATTTCACTTGAGCCAGTATTTGCATAATTAGCAGTCTTAAGTTGAACTGCATGACAGACAACGATATGTAGTTGAAAACTTGTTCATGCCAAAAGGAAGTCTAATCGACGGTATTTGTGCATCTCACATGTACCCAGTTGTCTATTTTGATGTGAATGAATATCTCAGTCTGAGCAAGGGCCAAGTGCAACATCATGCTTTACTTTGTCGACAGTACTGGATTGAAGCTTGATGTCATAGAATCATGTGTAAACTGTAAATCAAAGCTCGAAAAGTTCCGTGGTTTGTTAATGTCTTAATCATGTAGTAGGTTTGAGATTTCACAAACTTTGAAGTATTTAAAGATAATTTTTATAAACAATGTAGTTTTTTCCTTGTGAGTATTATTCAAGTTATGTGTACATACATATATATATATATAGATATAGATATAGAGTTTTTGTGTAAGTTTTGTTTAAACTGAAGCATACATATTCTTTTTCATCTGTATTTTGAATGGTCTGAAGTGCAGGGATGTATCATTAAGATAATATAAGAAACTTAAATGATTAATCATAAAATCAAACCGAAAATAAATAAAATAAAATAAAAATGCATTAAGGATCAGCATTGTAATTGTACATGTTATTGATCATCAACAAATTTAAAGATCAAAATGGTTGAATGTTAGAAAATTGAATTATGTGTAAAAGAATTTCAATTCTTTAAAGTCTTTGTAGTTATGTAAGCATGATTTTCCTTTTGAGAATGAATCTTGAAATTTACAGCAATCAATGTAGTGATCTTTAAATTTTTTCTTTTGGTGACTTGGCAAATACAATTGTTTAGGTCTTGTTGGTTGTTTCAGTTGATTCATAAATGATTCTTCTTGTCTAGAAGATAAAATTGGTTGTGCATAAACATGGTGATTATTGGGAGATTTTACACAATTGGGATTTGGACATGAGCACATCCCACAACAACAAGTATGAATTCTTTTGCAGTAGAAACATTTACTTTGAATTTTTGTAATAGATTCTCCATTTGGTTTGCATTTTCCACAACAACAATTGTGTGAGTCTAACAATGGAATGGAGCAATGAAGATGAGAATCTAAATAAGATGTAAATTCACTTGATCCACTAGTTTGTTTCCATTGGGATGGATTAGGCAAGGAAGGATATGTACACTTGTCTATGAAATTATTTTGTCCAAAACCATCAAAATTTTCAAATTGAGGTTGAAATTGTTGGTTAGGGCATGGAGGATATTCATTTTTTGCGCACTTTGGACTATGAACATGATCTTGGAGTGGAGATTCTAAAAATACAAAAAATATTAATATGAATATAAACATATATAGATATATAAACATATATATATATATATATATATACAAAAATAATAAAATAATAAAAGAAAAATGACCCAGTTTATTAAAGTATATTAAGAAATACATGGGAAGTGTTGGAAATTAATGTTGGTCAGATAAAAGTGGTGGAGGAGATTTACTTTGACATGATAAATCAAAAACATTTGGAGATGAATCATCTTCACGTGGTGATATAGGTGAAGATACACCATAGTTAGATGAAATGAAGGGTGATGAAGTTTTAAAGCTTGTTGCAATATTTTGAGGAAAATTTTGATGGTGGGGAGTATTAAAATGATCGTAATCTGGATTTTTTATTGGCAAATACACATTTCTCGCGATGGAAAAATGATTAATACTTTTATGGGTTGGTGGCAAATTTGTTTCAAAAAAGTGATCTTCTGTTTTTAATTTCTTTTTGCAAATGTTGTTCTCATTCTGTGTGTGTATACAAGATTCATGAGATGGAATGAGGGTTATGACTTTATTTGGAATCAATTTGAATTCATAGTTGCAGATTTTTTTCTTGTGAAAATTTAGTTTATTTTCACTGAGTTGTTTGCTGTTTAATATAGGATTAGGACTAGAATGTTGAGTGGCTTGAATGTTGATTAAGGAAATTGAAGAGTCTTCAAAAAATAGATTTTCATAGGTTTTTGCTTTTGATTGAAGTTTGATTTCAATACGTGGTGATGGGGCTTTTTCAGGTCTTAGCAAAGCTTCATGTATCTTGCTTTTTACCATACTGTTTGAATACTTTTCTTTTAGTGTTTCAACATTAAGGCTTGAATTTTGAATATTTTCATTGTTTTCTAACAAAAAATTGGAAGATAAATCTTTGTCATCACATGTTACAAATGATGCAATATTGTTTTCTACGAGATCATTTTTGTTACTATCCCCTGAAGATTTTTTAAATAACTCAAGTGACTCAATTATTTTAAAACAGTGATAAATAAAAATAATAATTCGAACGTTTTGATACCATGGAAAAATCTGTGAACAGTGCTTTCAGATAAAGTTCAAATTTTAATTTCATTGCTTGAGATTTATAGTTGTACAAAAACTATATATGTTATGCAAAAATGAAGTAATGAATATTTGTACTGATAAAAACAAACTATTTGTAACACACAATCAGTCAAATTCATTTGAATACTTAACAAGGATGATTCACAAGTTCTATAAGTTGGATTTTCTTTTAATTAATGAATCTCTTAAAACATGTAATAAAAATATCCCAAAATGAAACTAATTTTTTTCTGAGTATTACATATTTTGACATTGTAATTGTTTAAAGCATTGGACTATGTAAAGCTATATTGAATGTACTTTAGCTATTTGTTGATGCCTTGATTGATTAACTTCAGTATGATTTTATGGTTTTTAAAAATAGAACTTTGTATTTGAAATTAAACAATGAACTTTTTCTTTTATCAATTACTTACTGGAGCTTGAAAAGTACTTTTGAAAGTAGTAACATTTGTAAGCATGCAGGCTTGATCTATAAGACCTGAACATGCTGTATTTGATAATTTAGAACAACAAAGGTATTTAATAACTATATATATATATATATATATATATATTAAACAACATAAAATGTTTAAAACATTATACAATTGAATGGAAAAATACCCAGATTGATGTTTTTCAAAATAAGTATAATGCATACAACAAGATTTTGTTTTAGTAAATATGAATTAGTTTCAAACATTTCTTACTCCTCTTACAATTAACATTCGTTGTTTCTTTTTGAAATTGTGTGCTTGATAAACATCTTGAAATAAAATCATGTGGAGTAAATTGTATAGACTTATCAAAAAATGTCTTAACAAATTCATGATAGGAACAAAATTTACAACCAATCAATTTCAAATGTATAGAAGAGGGCTTGAAAATTTGATCTGGTGACTTTTGACATATAAAAAGAGTTGAATTAGGTTTGACATCATTTTTTGGAGTAAGTATTTTTCTTTTTGGTAAAACTTTATGATTTTGAATATCCAAAGCTTTACATGGACAATGAAACTTATCGCAATTATATAGTACATTTGCCACTTCTCCTTGGTCACAATTGCCTTGAGTTTGACCATACTTGGCAAAGAAAGAAGAAACATTTTTTTTTCCTCTTTTTGAATTCATCAAATAAAACTTAGTGAGGTGAACCTATGAAACAACATGGTGCTAACTTGGACTATTCTACACTTATTGTTGTATTTATTTCCCTAATCTGGTGAGTAAAAGGATTCAATTTTTTTTATTTATAAATCACAGTGAGTATTCAACTTTTTTTAATTTCTTGTTTGTTTAACGGGGTTTAAATAAAATTGAAGAAACGACAGTAAATTGTTTCACAGATATTGAGTTACTGTAGAGAGATATGATGTAAAATCATCACAACTTATTTATGTTTAGTCTTTTGATATCTATCGTATTATTATTCGTTCATACTAACCTTTCCATATGTCTTTGCGTTACATTTATGTTTTCAATGGGTGATCTTAATATTGGAACATTGACGAAAATGAGAAAAATAATGTAAATTAAACATTCTATACAAATATCTGAAAACACTAAACTTGAATACTCTTGAAAACTTAAAGGTTCATATTAATAATGACATAAAAAACATTAAAAACGAAAGATTTTGATAAACTAAGATCAACAAGTGTTTATGATTTACATAAATAATAAGGTAAGAAAATCGCATATGTTTTGTTTGACTGATTTTGTTTTTGAACAATCAACACTAAGAATCAAATTTGTGTATTTAAAATGGATATTTTGTCATCATAATGCTGGCACAAATTTTAAAGTGTTATTTCAACACTTTTTCAGAAATTATTGTTGCAAATGATGCCAAATACATCATCTTACTTCTTTTTAGGAGTCCAACATTTTCAGAATGTTACATTTAAAATAAAATAAAAATCTATTTATGAAAGGGGAGGAAAAAAAAAAAAAAAAAAAAAAAAAAAAAACCAACATATCATTTTTAACCGTTTCATAATTCTCATCGAGCACATATTCAATTGTATGATTGCAAATTGCTGTCTAACATTCGTCAACAAACGACACAAATAATACAAACACAAAAAAATCCTGCATCCTTATGCTGTGCTATGGTTTCAAATCAACACACAAGAACAAAAAAAAACCAAAGTTAAAACAGGAAGATGCACTCATTCCAGCATGCATTAGCAGGGATACTATTGAGCTTGAAAGCGGATTACTGCGAATGAGAAGAAGTCCGCAAATTGATATATTCCATATATAATTGACATCCAATTGTGACAATAGTTTCATCATCTGATTGAGTTTGTCCGATCCCCGGAATGGCTCATAAGTGTGAGTGTGTGTGTGTATGTGTCCACGCATGGGGCAATCACTAGTGAAGGTTACGAACCGCTAAACAAGTGTGAGTGCATCACCGGATTGACACTGCAACGAGGTTGGATCACTGGGCTTCAAAAATCGATTCGGAAACCAAATAGCGAGACGGCGTGATCACAAGCACCAGCACGAGATACAGAGGCTGTTTTGATGCGATGGAAACAGCAGCACACACGGTGCCTCAAGCGGCCGACAATGGGATCGTTACGTTCCAAGATCAACAGCAAACAAAAAAAAAAAAACACTAGGAGATCGAAGGCTAGATCTCGAAAAAACAGACCAGCACCTAACGAAAGTGGGCAAAGGATGTGATATCTCTAATAAGACTACAAAAAGCTTCACTCCATCTGGTGGTGAGTTTCCTGTCAACACGATGATCGCTTTTTCTCAGGTTCACGAAAGAATTGCCGAGATACATTGTCTGAGCGTCGCGAATGCTGAAAAACTAGGCATTGTGAGGGGACCCACATGGATCGGAGCGTGGAAAGCTGGTGACTTTGGCTGCTGCAAGCCTCAAAAACCGTCCCAATTGACAGCGGAGAATAGTAGAAAGAAGGCGAAGATGGGGATGATGCGAAGAAGAAGTCGTAGGGAGGATTTGAGGCAAAGCAACACAAGGCCAAGCACTACCTTGAGAAATGGGATACAAGACCCCTATCGATTTGGTCATCTTGTCATCCATTCGACTGGGTATTTTTCGAAGCCTCGGCCGGGGATCGTCGACCAGCGGACCACCACCCAGAAGTCCAGCGTCTTGACGGACTCGTTCCAGTTACGCCAGTTTTGCTCCTCCTCGCGAACGCTCCATCGCGTTTCGGAGCTCAGTCTATGGAGGATCGCCAGCCGCATTTGCTTCCCTTGAACGCGGACGTCGCGGACCACACAGTGTTGGTCCCCTTGAGGGCAGCGTGTGAGGATGATGTCGCCCTTGACGGGCCAAGGGGGAATGGATTTCTGGTTGCCGGAAATGGAATGAGCTCCAGCCATTCGAGACGCATTGCTGCCTCGCGCTTGATTCGGCATTTGGACCGCTGGCGGGAGGGGCTCCATGCGATCGAAGTGGTCACCCCGGTCGGAGTCCAGTTCCTGCAGGGTTCGAGGTGAGGAAGCTAGGTTCATGACTCGCGGAGATTCCTTCACCCGGGGGGATTCGGCCACGGAAATTCGGTTGCTGACTGCAGGGCCGACGACTTGATGATGGTGGATTCCATCAGTTTGATGTTGAGGAGGTTGATGCAGGGGCTGTTCGTGGCCCTGCATGTTTCCGGCCTCGATGCCGCTCCTGCTCGCAGCGAAGGCGGTCAGCAAGCGCCGAGGGGGTTGGATGGCGGACTGGCGAGCGTTCAGAGGCTCCGGTTCAACGTGACCTTGAAGCATGTGCACTACTCGGCTCATGGGAGGGCGGGCAGAAGGATCGTCTTGAATACACAAAAGCGCGCAGTGAATAGCTCGCATTGCGTCTTTCTTGTGGAAGTATTCAACCTCCTCGACGTGCAGCCGCTTGTCGAGAAGCTCCATGGTACGCCCTTCGCCCACTAGCTTGGAAGCCCACGCGGGGAAGTACCACTGCTCTTTGCCCAGTGAAAAGTTCGTGTTCTCGCGCCCGCTGATGAGCTCCAGCAGCACCATGCCGAAGCTGTACACATCCGTTTTGGCCGTCACAGCCGCGTGGGGGAGTAACCACTCGGGCGCTAAGTAACCAGGGGTTCCACGCATGCTTGTAACCACTCTGCTTTGTTCTCTGTCCATCAACTTGGCGAGACCAAAATCTGAGAGCTGTCAACACAACGAAAACACATTAAAATTTGGTAAAAACTCGCAAACCCGAATCCAACACCCTGCCAACTACTCACGTCAAGTGAACACTTAAACCCTACACACTTAAACCCTGCTCTAAAACCCTGACAAATGGATCTCCACCGCAAACGTCCCACAACCACTGGGGATTTAGACACATAGGTAGAACCCCACAAACAACGGTCAATGCCGGCAGTAAGCAAAGCAAGGCACCTCATGAGACCAGGACTTAAGATAAGAGTCCAAACCTTGGGGCAAAATTGGTGGTCCAGAAGGATATTCTCGGGCTTCACGTCCAGATGAATGATGTGGTCGCTACATTCCTCGTGGAGATAGGCCAGAGCTCTTGCTGTGCCCAGAGCAATGTTGAGGCGCTGCTCCCAATCCAACAGCTTCTCCCCTTGCTTCTTCCCAAACAACCAGGCATCCACGCTGCCATTCGGCATGTACTCGTACACAAGCAGCCGGTGAGTTCCTTCGGAACAGAATCCATGCAGGCGAACCAGGTTGAGGTGCCGAATAGCACCCATCGACGCTACCTCAGCCCTGAACTGCTTCTCCCCCTGTACAGAAGTCTTCTCCAGCATCTTCACAGCCACACGCGCACCGTTGGCTAGTGTTCCCTCGTAGACGGATCCGAAGGCACCGTCACCCAGTTTTCGTGAGAAATTCTTCGTGGCCTTCTGCAGTTTCGAGTAGGAAAACCTGGGTGGTAAACTGGGAACAGTGTCCAAAAAATCGGCAGGGGTTTCATCCTCCTTCGACCCAGTGCATAGAATTGCCAGCATGGATAACCCTGCCAATGTAATAACTGCTCCTAAAAAGAAGTCTAATCCGTGAGCCTGCGATCGATCCAACCGGAGAAGGCGTCAGAAAATACTGAAGCAGCAAAATCAGTGCATTCTTCTTCATAGAAAAGAATAGATATGGCAGAGTGCAAGACAGAAGAAAAATCAGAACAGAAATATGAGAAAGACGAATGAGAAATAAGATTGGGGTCTCACACAGCGCCATTGTCCATACTCACACGCGTGTGCTATTTCACCAATTTTAGCCTGTAGATAGGGTTGAGAAGAATCACATGCAAATCCGCAAAACAGATCCGATTAGTGAGATTGTCAAAAATTTCAATACCAAAAAAAAATTCAAGAGCAACAAGGCTGGTTACTTACCCGCAATGACCTCCGCCCAAGAGAACCCAAGAGTACTTGCGAAAGATGAATGGCAGATTTCTCCCTCGAATTCGACAATCTGACGATAAAAATCGGCACACTTGCACAAGACGAATCCGTGTAACCGCCAATGACTGATCTTACAGTGTCCGAACCAGATCCAATAGAGGTCGAGGCTAAATTTGTCGAAAGAACCATCACAGGTTGAAATTCTTGCGACATATCCAAGTGCATCTTGTTATAAAAACCATGTTCCAAGTCCATTCGTGCCAATGCCACAAGCGAAGTTGTTCCTGACGACGAGCGCGCGTTAAACGTGCAAAGATTGGTACCAGCGACAGATTCACTGGCGCATTCAACCTGAGTATGTAATGAGGGCAGCAGAATGTCTTCGTTGTGAGTGAGATTAGCAGATGCTTCCGATACCCATCCAAGATAGGCCAAAAACGCAAGTGTTGCGTCCAGCTGCAACTCTCCATTGCAATCACCACAATTTCGAGTTCCTGTCTTATGATCACCAAGAGAGGAGTCGACAAGAAGACAAGCGCCGCGACCAGAAGGCAATGGATCATGGAGGCCATGACCCAAAGTAGCAGCAGCAGCACTACATTCCACTTCCTGACTCCGGTTCCGACCTACACCGTCACCCACGTCTCCAACCTGGGCAGAGAATTTACAACAGACGAGAGAAGAACCTAAATCTCCGCGGTGACCAGCGATTCCATCTGCGACGCTACTGTTGAATTTCACCGTCACAGAGTACACTAAACCCACCAGATCTGCCAAATTCTCCACAGACGTGTCCACCACAAAGACTTCAATCGAAGATTCGACTCCCACCGCACTACGACACGTCCTTAGCTGCAGCAGGAACACCGCCACCACTACCACCAGCCATGTCCGCATCGCCGGCGCCGACCTCCGGCCCCCGCCTTTCCACTTCATCTTCGGAAGCTCATCAATCGTACCCTCTCGTACTACTACCACTTGATTCACTCACCTCCCACCAAAATTCCAAACCACACCCACAGAATCCCTCGCGGCTCATTCACACTAGTCGTGATGAGCTTGCGGCGGTCACCCGTCGCCACCTCTGCTGGCGGTGTCCCATTCCTTTCTCCATCACCTGGGCACCTCCATCCCCCTGCGCATCATACGACCACCATTACCATCACCATAAAACTAATCATCTCCGTTTATCAGCACTGCTACCACTGCCCTACACTGATGCTGCAACCAGGAGTACTCGGAGTCTGTCTGTCTATCTGTCTGTGTATCCGTCTGCCCGTCCCACGCCCTTCACCTCTGCCATGCCCTCGCTTCCCAGCAGCCAAGCTGTGGCGGAAGGGTGGTGGAGGTGACAGACGGATTACAGCACAACTGGTCCCTGCAGGTGGAGGTGATGGCAGCAGCTACGAACCAGATAAAATTCCACATCGGTTGTAGAGTGATGGAAGGAAAGTAGATGGCGATGCCATTCAATTCCGCGCACCAAACTCGGCGAATCCTGTGCAACTCTACTCTGCTGCCATCTCAGAGGTCACCCTCGTCGCAGCATTGGTACAATTCTCGCTCGTTCCCCCTCCCCACTCTGTCAGCAGCTTGGCAGGATTCGGCGTCCGTCACATAAGTAGCCCACTAGCGCCTCGTCCGCCCCACGCTGCTCTGTCTTGCGGGCACTTGAGACGGAAGAAATAGAAGTTAGGCGCCAGAGGAAGTGGAGGTGATGCTGTGCCATCAACTGCGGTCGTCGACCGCTCCCCAGCGGTTCATCGCGGCACCGAGTAGTTCGTCGGAGCGAGCTGGCGAGCAGGACCTCCGGCGGCACCGGGGTCGCCTGGAAATGGATGTGCTTCATTTGAGGACCTTCCCTGCAGGAACTACTCGCCGCATCTGGTCTCTGCGGGTGGTCAGCCAACCTGCATTGTTTGATCTCATGGTACGAGGGGCACTTTATGATGTATCCCTTACATTTTAAAATGCCGCAGATCGGTGACCTGGAGCGTGATGAAGATTTTTCTATTTTTGATGTGTGTGGTGTCGCAAATCCTTTCTCCGGGGCCTCGAGAACCCCAAGCGGAGCTAACCTCTTCCCCACAGCTACCGTTTACCATCGCCACTTCCTACTTTTTTTTATTGCTTGCACAGCAATTACAGGCAACAACTCGAGTGATGCATCTATACTGTAAGATCCAAAATGCTGGCATTATTTTACTATTTTCTAATTAGCGGGTGAGTGGCGAAGAGTTGGTCTACGATGACGTCTTGCATGAGCATCGATTTCCACAAAGGAAAGGATTACCACTCATGTATAAAGTAGATGACGAATTGTTGTCTTCATAGGAAATTCTACATGGATGGGATTCGAGGATGGTTTCATTCGATCCAAAGCAGTGCTTCAAACGTTTACCAAGCTTAACTATTTAGCATTAAAGCATCTGACATATTTTCCTGCACCACTCAACTCACCACAAACGCACGAATTTGTTCAATTCACATGTAGAGCCGCAGGAGTGTAACAATATGAATTTGATTGTTTCACGTTGCTAAGAACCTCGGCGAATTTTGTTTCGTCCCCAGGACGTACCCAAGGAGCCGACTCATTTCAGTAGACTTGCTACGTGCACGTTCTGACTAAAGTTCAATCGCTTCCAGATGGTTTCCCAGCCTGCAGCGAAAGGAGGTTGGGCAATTTCGGCAAAGAGGCCTTTTTTGCAAAAGCATGCAATGGAAACTAGTTCTTCACGTGACCAAGTTGACTGGAATGCTCTATTGAAACCTGCATTAAACCTTTAAAATAAAACTGCGATATCATATACAAGATTGACCAATGCATAGCAACATTGCGTAGCGGACTTGCGAGTGGTGTGCGCTCTAGGGACCAGAGAAAGTAAACTCGATGGATCCAGATGTGGAAACCCATGTTGGTCGAGGAATGGATCCGCACTCATACGCAAGCAGGAAATTAGATTGGTCGACAATGAACAGCTGAAGTTGGGCAAGAGCCAACTTCTCAAAACGTGATGGTCGTTGAGTTGCTACTCGTTTGTGAGGCTCATCACCTGATGAACAACGAAAGAAAAACTTATAAAAAGCTCACTTACTTGGGTTCTCCAGTTTCTGGGCAGCTCTCCACTCTTCACCTGGTTGTAGATTCACTGGTCTATTCGACCGGGAAAGTTCGATGCACACAAACGAATCCCAATCCTCAAGACCTGATTCTTCGCCAGGATTTGAAAGCTGAATCTCTTCGAAACCAGAGTTGCAGAAGTTACTTGTTCTCCGTTTTCCCTGTTAAACAACGAGCAAAATCATATGTTCATGAATTGGGTGAAGATTCAAGTGGTAAGTACGACAATCGCCTCAGTTATTTTGTTGCAGTGCAACGATTCTCAGGTTGATGAAATCTGGAACATGGCACGCGAATTTCACAACCGAATACCCGCTGTCCTAAAATGCAACGAGTCACTGCAGGATTTGCCGTGGTAAGACTGCTGCAGGAGCAGAGCACCCAGACCATCGCAGACGTGAACTGGGTACCAAACACGCATACAAATATGGTGATGGAAACAAATTGCTATCGCGAATCTACCTGAAAACGGAGCTTGTGTGTGCATTCACTGACTGCTTCAGGTTGTGGACATGTACCTCTCAGATGGTTAGTACTTACCCGGTCAAGGAGTGACACACAATCCGGTGCTTCTATGTAGGTTCGGGAAAACCCACCCTTCATCCTCACCATCTCCTCCTTCTCCACCCTCTGCAACCCAACGCTAGCATCGTTCCTCCTCTCCTCATTCTTAAACCCTACGAATCGCTGCAATTTCGACAGCATTCCCTCTGCGTTGGTGTCGTCAACACTGGGTTCCCCCCCGTCCAGTCTTCGCGGTGTCGGTGCTAAGTTTGGAGGCATTGTCGGCAGGTATTTGCAACCTTGCAGACCAATTGCGTAGGCTCCATCAACAAAATTGACTGCAAGATTGGTTCGAAACGAGCCATGTATGCTGACTGCACTGGTACCAATGTTCGTAGCAATAACGGCACAAATCAGCGAATCATTCGTCAAGGTCATGACATACTTGAATTGCAAGCTGTGGCCCGCGGTGGCTCCCTTGCAAGTGGTCGATAAGGCAATCTGGCACGGTCAAGAGCTCCAAAATGAGTATCAAACCCCCCCAAAGTCCAATGCCAAGTTCGAAGAATAGAAACAAACTCGAGGAACTTGTAAACAACAATCCTCGAGTGTAAGCCAATTCACCATTGAAAGCTGCCCGAATAGCACGAAAGAGCTTAACGAGAACGAACCGTGCTTTATAACGAATTAGAATTCACACCTGAACAAACTCGCCGGGATCACTTCTCGCGTTCTCAATCTCCCAGCACTTGGTCGAAGCCAACAAATTCGACTGGCTACCTGCTCCGCTCTCCCACACCCTGAGAGCTACTCCCCCAGCCGGCGTTGGCCTCTGCGAATCATCCTCCCCAGGCACGACTAGGGTACGCAGCAACTCCTCCACCCCGCCATGCCACATCCTGGACTTGAACGAGGCCACGAACGCGCTTTGCAACACGACGCGCGCACTCGAACCTTCTTTCAGCTTCATCTCCACAATGGTGAACCCCGCCGCTTCGACGAATTTCACACCTGGTTGTCCGAACTTCGCCTGCAATTCCTCCACGCTCCTCCTCCTCCTCGCGGGCAACGTCTCTGCCGCGCCCAGTCCATTGCATTGCACTCGCCGAGTTGGTTCCCTCGCTCGCACGTTTGCGTGGCCTGGGTTGGATTCTAGGTTGCAGCGAACGCGGAATCGTGTGCTGGTGTAGTGTATCCTGCTGCTCAAGCTTGGGCGAGATAAACCCAGGGGAGGGGATTCGGATGATGAGTGGTTCAAACAAGCTCCGGCATTGGCAGTGCGGCGAATGTTGGCGTGGATCCCCACCATGTCGCACATCGCTGCAGCTCCACGCAGCAGCTCATACACACACTCTCTCTCTCTCTCTCTCTCTCTATCTCTATCTATTCTCCTGTTTCACGCCATAGCCACCCTTGCGCTCTATCTATCTACCTCTCTCTCTCTCGCTATCTATCTATCTCTCGCTTCGCATTCTCGGTGCCGCATCTTCTGTAGACGCTGAACGAGTACCGAAAACTGGCGCCTTGGCAACCCACCCCATCTACCCCACCCAAAACTGCCACCTTTGTCCTGAGAGGCTGAGCTTCTGTTTTGTTTTTGTTTTGTTTTGTTTTTTATTTTTTATTTTTTTTGCTGGGTTGTTGATTTGAAATAGATGATGGGTTTATTTTACCCAGTGGAGTTGATGCATACGCTGGACAATGGAAATGGTTGTTTGAAAGATGATGACACTTTTCTTTTTGGCATTTTTTTTGCTTTAACAGGATTCTTCTTGTTTGCTCAAATAGAATTGAAAGAATATGAGGCCCATTGTGTGTGTGTGTGTGTATGTGGATGTTTACAGATCTTGAGATCTTGACACAAATTGAGATGTATTGTTGGTGTCATCAAATGTAATGTGATGTGGAATGTATGTGAATGTGGAAACCTCTTTTTGGAGATCTTTTCTATGATGGTGTGCACAGTTTGTGTTTCTTTTTTTCTTTTTTTTTCATATATTAATCTTTTGTTTAGACATTAAGAAACCTACATGTATGTTGGTCCTGTACACAGTGGGTTCGTGTTATGATATTGTTACAAATTTTACTGAACTATTTTATTACAAGTATAACACAGTGTTTCTAACTTGAATTAATTGGAATTGTGTTCTAAACTGAGGAAGTGAATTACTTTCTAAACTTAATATGTTACACAATTAATTTTTCAGAATTGTTATAATAATAAATGATTATTATTCTTCTGCAATATATTAATACATTTATTTGAAAGAGTGTGCCATTATAATAATGTTAAACTAAAATCATCAGATATTACCTCACAATGTGTATGATGCTTGGAATACATTGAACATCATCTAAAAACAAATTATCTTTTAAGTTTTGTGAAATATAACCAAAAACGAGAAGCATAAAGTCAGTTACAAGTTATTCAACAAAATTGTTCACCATACAATTTCTTTACACTTTACACAATGTTAAAACTTGTCAAGTTGATTATAATTTAAGAACATCAAAATAAAAATGGAAATGAATCTCATCTACATTTACTATAATCAGAACACAATTCCATATAACTATGACATGATTTTTTTTAATTTGTGCATATGGATAAGTTAAATTGCAGTTATATAGAGATATTCAATTAGTAAACTAAATATTATAAATAAAAATTTACGATTTTTTTACTTGATTCAAAATTGTGTTTGAATAATAATAGATTGTTATTAAAAATTTATCATGAGTTTCATTTAATCTATTTACAATTCTATTGTTGTGCCACTATTAAAGAAATTTTACATTTTTATGTTGAAAAACTTTTATATATACTTTTTTAGTGATTTTGAAAGAAATTTTGGTAAATTTTATATTGTATAATATTTATTGATAATTTATTTTTATAAAATATACCACAAACCAAATCCACAAATGTCATGTTGCATTTTAAATTATTTTTTTATTATTATATATGTTTTTATTTCAATTATATTAGTTACAATTAGTTTTTAAAAAATTATATTTATATAAGTATATTTTATGTAAATAGATTCTTTGGAGGTACTTCTAACACAACCACAATCTTTGCTAGTCCCACCATAACCAGCCAACCACTCTATATATTTCTTTAGTTTCTTTTAAACAATTTTTGTTTGATTTGTTTAAAAATTGGATAATAATAATAATAACAATAATAATCATCATCATCATTATAATTATTGCATTTTAACATATTTTCTTGTTGTTTAAACTGCTTACCTAAAATGAACTAAAAAGAAAAAAATCAAAATAAAAAACATATATATGTGGTAGAAATGGTCCATATTATTTCTGGGTCTAGCAAAGCTTGCATTGTAAAATAAAGTAGCAACTTTTTATAAATAATATTTTTACATATACATAGATGACTTTATGATATGATAATTTGGGACATCAAACAAGAAGAATCATTGTGCTCAATGACAAGAATTCTTAGAGTGGAAAATTCTTAGAGCAACAAGAAACCAATGAACCTCACCATCTTCATTGTTTTGTTGTCATTTTGCAATTTTCTTTATTTTCTTTATATAATGAAACATTAGAAAGTCATTATCTATATACTAACAAATTTCATATTTAGGATTTTGAACCAACAATCTCTTGGTACCAAGGAGCCACCTATTAGTTGTTGTTTTTTTCTTTTCTTTTCTTTTCTTTCTTTCTTCTTTTTTTTTTTTTTTTTTTTTTTTTTAAACACAAGGTTTCTTGGGATTAGGGTTTCTTTGGAGGTTTTGGGAGGTTCAGTAGGTGTAAACATGTCTCTTCCTCTTGTGAAGCCTTCAAATGTCTAGATTATGCAGAGTCTGATTCCTTTTCTGCGCTTCATTCGGAGATTTTGGTGTCTTTTTTTGTGGGGAAGTAGCTTTGCCTTCCACTGTTACCGGCATGTGGGTCTAAACTCAAGGCTACGTGGATGTTCGTTGAGGATACACAGTGGCTCTGTCGTTGCTTCGACTCAAAGTTTCATATATATAACCGAAATAATCAAGACGATATTTTAACGGAGGAGGGTTTAGGTCCAGATTTATAGCAACGGGTAAGTAGATTACGCTTCATCTGGTTAGAAATCCATGTTGCAGAATTATGTGTACCATTTTTGGAGGTTCCTGAATTCCAAGCTTGAAAGAAAAGTTTTCTAGCAATGAGAAAAGAGAAAGTATAGCACAAGTTAAGAGATTGCAGAGAGATGTGGATGTCACATAAATTTTTTTCACGATTTCAATAAGAGTCCTTTTAAAGAGTGCAGAATCGCTGTAGGGCAGGAATATTTTTTTTTGGCCAATTAAATGGGGACACTTTACCTACACCTTCCTGTACAGTCCTTGACCACCGATACTACAGCTACGATCTCTCTCCGGCTATTTTGGTACAGCTGTTAGGCAGCTTCTTCGATATAAATGCCTGCAGCTAAATGCTTCTCGAGTTACTCTGGCAATCTCACATGGGGAGCTAACTTTACAACCTGAAAACATCTAGAATAAAATTGTAAAGGTCAGTCAGATTGAGTTCATGATGATGCTTGAAAAATACTTCTCATCATCGATCTGAAGCGACCACTGATCGCAAACGAGCATTGGCAACCGGCCCGTATTATGTACGATCTAACAATGGCTCTATCAAATTGCCGCTGCTGGTCATGTCCAGTTGAGCCAAACGCTGTTTTCTGGCCTCGTCCTCAACCTGCCGGACCTTTTTGATCGCATTTTGGCTTTGTTTTGATAGTCCCATTTGCTGCAGGTACAATTCACCATTATCACTCGTCAAGCCTGGTTTTTGGTTAAGAACGGTCTTCAGATACATGTATAATTGCCAGAAGCCAAAGATTTGTAAAATACTGGTCTTCCAAGACATTCACCTCAATCTGCAGTTCGGGGTCACAGACAGGATAAACCCAGATGCCAGTCAACAGACATAAAGTGGTCACAAGAGGGTGAAGCATTACCGGATTCTTATAAGAACCAACTCTGCGAATCAACGATCCTCCTCTATGAGTTTGTGCTGCCGCAGCTGCTGCTACTCGCACCCTGACAAACACGCAATACGCACCAACGTTCAAAACCTTCATCATGATAATAACTAGTTGGAAATTAAAGTTCAGCAGGATCGTGGGTGTTACACTTATATCAACAAGTTCTTTCTTTGACGAACTCATGTTAAGCATGTTTTCAACCTGTCGTGGGAATATCTTCACGAAGCATATTAGTTTCAAATACCGAGCAGAAAGAAGACCCAAAAGATAAGAGAGTGGAAATTACTTGTTGGCGACATCTATGAATTCATCAGTTTCATCCACAATCTCTTCTTGTAGAAGCTCTTCCATCACATCCTCAAGTGTGATGATCCCAATAACTTCTCCCGCCTCAACATCATACTGATCTTCCTCCACCACCTTAGTGTTCATTTCTGGAGATTCGTGATTCTCTAGACCGCCTTCTAGATCTGCCTCGTGGTTGGTATCCGTTTCCGGACTTTGCTTGGCTTTATTTTTATCAGAACTCATGTTCCTCTTTCTCTTAACCTTCATTACTGCTGCCATATGGCTACCTCCTTTCTGAAATTCGTTCAGAATGTCATATAGGGGCATGTCACTGGGCACTCTGTAATCAGCACCACTTAGTGCAATCAGTTGAAAATCAAAGACCACCGAAGCCTGAAGAAGAACCAAATCCTAGAAGGCCATTTTCTGTAGGTTCGCGGTGGCGTGGTATACAAAAATAAAATGCAATTCATTGATTTTTCGTCATATACCTTCTCTTTTACTCCACTTTTTACTCGGGTAGACTGAAATAAACAAAAATATACAGAAGTGATAATCAGTGGACTACCTGGGTATTCTTCTTATGCTGACGGCTCTTATAGGGGTTTCAGCCTCAGCACGAACTGTTAAAAGGCTCTTCACCTGCAAACTTCTCAACTATAAGACTAGACGGAAATCCATAATTGACAACCTCTTCAACACAGCTCCCGCACGGGTTCAAATCAATAGTCTGTCATCCATAGAAAAATCCTTCAACACGAAAAGATCCTAGAACTGCACACAAAATTCAAGCCCAAGGTTGGCAGGTTACCAGTAAAACACCGACAATATTGCGTTTATCGCCTGAATAGACAGGAATCCGACTGTGTCCTCGAGCCATTATTTTTCCCACAACCTCCCTGAAGATCAATACCCACAGAGGCAGAAGCTTGTGACCTACAAAGCATTCATTGCAAGGATCAAGGGATGAAAATTTTGCCACAAGAATCTAACATTTGACATAGGTTTGTGCAGGAGCTCATGGAACGCAATAATAATCTTGAAGAGACGTACCAGTCCAGCTTCGTGTCGACGTCCAGTGAAAAGGTATGCTCCAATGGAGTCATGGAATCCAGAGCAGTCTGAGATGAGCATGACAAAAATCTAATTAACGAACATGAATATGATTTCAGTAGAAAGACAATGCCAACGACTAACTCCATTACATAAACCTTCTAATTTCAAACTATCCGAAGATATGTCGGTTTCTGGCTTTACCTTTTCCGTAAGGTCCAAAGCTCCCTGAATGATGGTCGTTTCATCATGTGTAAGCTCTCCTCCTTTGCCAGCCTACGAAATCCAACAAGAATGACAAAGATCTTCAGCTCCTCCTCCACCAGTGTCGTGATCCAAAGCAAAATTCAAAGGGTTCTGGACTAAAACCTCTTTTCCGTGAATGCCAACAAATGCCTTGAGCTGCGCCCTTCTGAACAGTGCCGAGTCGCTGTGTCCCAACAAATGGTCTAATATCTGCATTCGAAACCAGTGATCAGAGAGTGATCTTTACGTTCCAATCTGTGGTAAATGTGCATTCTCAACCATTGCCTACACTTCATTATCTATTTGTCTTGCAACGAAGCAGGCTCACCTTTCCAACAGGGTAGGAGATGGGCCAACAAATGACCATGAGAATTTTAACCAACCAGATAAAATTGGCACCGATCGCAAGCCCATGTCTTGAGCATACTGCTTGAGGTATTACCTGACATGGCAAACATAAACCCTCGGTGACATATATTTGATATAAGCTTAGGGCTATGAAGAACCAACACTGTGGCACATATAAACATACAAATCCATCGCTCTCTCTTTTTTTCAATGTGTTTTCCTTTCTTTCTGTTTTTCTTTCGTTCATTTTTGGATTAGTTTCGCTGGGACTAAATCAAAAAAGAAAGAAGAAATCAATTCACCTCTCCAAAAGCAAGCACAAAAGTGACAGACAAGATCACTGCTGCAAACTCGTTGAACATGTCATCCAAAAAGATAGGAAGCGCCTGCATCACTCGATGCAAACAATACAAAAGACAGCAGCTGTGTAAGAATGTATAGAAAAATTGAGGGCCGTGTGTGCGAGAGCATGCAGAATACACAAACGAGACGCTTGCGACTATTGAAAACCGACAGAGAAAGAAATCACCTCCATGGCAGCTGCATTACAGAGCAGCAATGTGACCAGGAGCTGGTGCTGCGTTCGAACGACGGGCAGGATCGCGGCTGTAACCCAACACAAACACAGCCACATTCATTGAGATTCTGCAAAATCTAACTGGCAGAGACAGAAAGCACAAGGTAAATTACCCAACTAACAGTACAGCACCCCGTTGTGAACCACGACTGGACAGAAATTTGGGTGTTTCACGTACATTAGGAACGGAATTAGAAACCATCAAACTCAAATGCTTTACCCGAATTGACAAAAACAAAAAATCCAAAAAAAAAAAGGGGGGGGGGGATATATGTAAACTCACAAGCTCGTTTTTTCTCTTCCACTGTACCACTCTGCTGTAGAACTTCCAAGTCTACAAGCCCAAGCGACATAAGACCCAGCGTCAATCCCGACATAACCCCAGCAAACACCACCAGGAAAACTGAAATCCCGCAAGCAATCCACCACTCTGGCTCTCCAAAATTAGCATGGTCACCAACTGTAACCGAAGAAGACGAAGGAGACGATGATGATGATGATCGCATCGTGTGACCCAATCCGAGCATACCCAGTAACAACATCCCTGACCCCATCCTCCTCCACCCTCCACCCTCCTCTCTTGTTCTTCTTCTTCTTCTTCTTCTTCCTTCCTTACTTCCTTCCTTCCTTCCTCCTACTCCTTCCTCTACCTCCCTTGAGTGTCCTTGTTCCTCCTCCTCCTCCTCCTCTACTTCCCTGTGGACACAAGGCTACAGCACCAATTGAGAGGGAATCACCGTATTCTATTCATTCCTCACCATTCACAATTTCTCCCCAACTACGACCAGACAACTCTCCGAAATGCTGCGAGGAAAGGAGAAAAGGGAAGGCGGCGATGCTGTACAATGAATGCCAAGAAGCAGAAGAGAGAAAGAGACAGACAGAGAGAGTGAGCCTGAGTGACCGAGCTTTCTATTGAGAAAATTCCCCTCTTCCTGCTCTGCTGCTCTCTTGTGGGGTGGGTGGGGTGGGGCCTCGGCCGAGCTGGCTCTAATCCCGTATGCGCTTCACCAGCATAGCATCCATGCATTCTGTCTTGTGTGTGCGTGGGGTGGTGCCCCCCACTCCATTGTTGCTTCTTCTGATTCTGCTTCTACCTCTTCTGTTATTGTTGTTGTTGTTGATGTTGCGTTTTAGTGTCAATTGTGCTCTTGTCACCGTGGATTCTTGGGTGATTTCTTTTACCGTGCTTCATGTTTTTCCCACAACACATCATATATATGTTTTTCACTCTTATGAAATGAAAAACATATATATATGATGTAATTTATTTAACAGTTATTATTGAATCACGCATGCTAGAGTTGTCATAAGGGCAAGCAATAAAAAGACAACATTGTTGAGTGGTTCAAAAGATCATGTATGCTTTTGTAGGTCACTAAAAGGCCACCTCTATGGATGTAAGTAAGTTTATGCATTTTAATGTTTGATATTGATCTTTGAATTTATTTAGCCATCCGCATATTACACAACAATATTACAAAACTCCCCACAAAAACTGAAATTAGTGGTAATTAAAAAGGGGGCTTTATCTCAATTCCCTTTCTAATCCCACTTTAGTTCCACATCCCTGCAGTGGAAGCTTCTAAAAGCTTCCGCGTTCCATCGATCACTGGATGAATACACAATGGATGAATACATACACATGTCATCCGATTATGATTGTGATGAATGAACGAAACAATCCACCTTCTATTTGTGACCCAATGGGCTCTGTAGCTCGTAATCTTCTATTTGGGGGGGGGAGGGAGTGCCACTTGGCAAGAGCATTGTGGGTGGGACAAATATCCACCTGGGTCCAAACCCGCGCCACGTAGGAGTCCACGTCAGATGATTGGGTGGTTCAGAATGCTGCGCCAATCCTGGACCAGGGATTCTAGAATGGTGTAATTAAAGGAATTACATAAAAAGAAGCGAGAGAGGTTAATGAAAAGCTTAAATATATTTTAATAGTGTGTGTTTATATTTTAAGGAGTAGTCTGGAAATAGATGAGGGTGGCACTGTTTGGTCTCAACGACATTCACCTTCATGCAATGGTTTTTTTATATTTTTTGATGTTTATTTTTTATTATCATGGTATCCTAATTGATTGTTAACATAATTGAAATTATGTTGGAGAGATTCTATTTGAGTCATGTCTGTTGGCCACTGAGTAATATTACTTTTTTATGTAATTACGAGTCATGTTACAATGATTTACAAAATGAAAGATTAATATTATTGGTACAAGAAATGTTTTGTATTAGTTGCGAAGCATTTGACACAATAAAAAAATTAATGTTTTAAATATTTTTTTAACATTCGATTTTTTATTTTGTTTTTTGTTTAATGAGTTGTAATTTTCAAATTTTACGTGCTTAATTATTTGGAGAGATCTTTGTATGGAACATTTTAGAGCGAAGTCTGTTCTATATTAGATTGTAATACACATTTTTCGATTCCAAGTCTTGCTAGTTGTGAAAGTTTAAAAGGATGTATAATTTAAAATTATTAGTTCTGAAAATAAAATAAAATAAAATAAATGTCTTTAAAGTAATATACTGATATCACATTGAGTTCATCATAATGAGTGTGTGGAAAATCGATGTTGAAAAAGAAATACATATATATATATATATATATATATATATATATATTATCTGAGCATTGATTTCTTATTTGGATGCCTTGTATTTACATATTGACCAGATATGCTGTATTTTTATTTCAATTAGTATTTATAAAATCAATTGCCAAGTTTTATTTTGTTTTTACTTTAACTTTTAAAACAAACTTGAGTATTGTTCTTTTTGCAATCAATCTAGAACTATGTTATCAATAGTGAATACTTGGAGACAAAAATATAAAAAAAAGTACATTGTGATATATAATGAAACATAAAACATAAACATAAACTCATATTTTTCATCAATTTTTTTTTACATTCTATTTCTACATAAATATTAATTAACTCATATAATTGAATATTGTATCTTGAAAATGTTAAATTAAACTTACAAAAACTAATAAAATGAATTATCATATTAATTTCTACTCAAACAAATTTGATACGGATGTTCATTTTTTGAAGCATTAAACCTCAAGAATATTAAAAACATTATGAACTGGAAATTTCAAATCATATTGCCGTTTGTAAATTACATTAGTATATTCATTAATAAAAAATACCTAATTAAGATAGGATGTGAGTTAATAGCGAAAATAATTATATAAGATTTAACATGTTTTACTTGGTATTTGAAGGAGTTTAACTGTAAATGAAAGCAGTATCTAATCAGGGCAACTGTTGATGAATAAATAATCAGAACCTCAAACCTTTACACAATGTTTACCTGTTTTTTTTTTGCAATAACCTTGAATTTTATACTTTAAAGACTTGGGAAAAAAAAAACAGACAAACAAACAAATAAACAAATCAGATCAGTGTTTTACTAAAATCTTGTACATATATTTATAATCATAATAAAATAGTTAGATTAGTAACGTCTCCAATTACACAAGGTACACTATACAATATAACTGGAACCCACATTTTTCATTGTTATTGATGTAATTATCATCATAATATTAATAGCTCCAATATCAAAGATAAAATAGATAGTACTTTGAGCATGTGTATTAATTGATTTGATCATGTTTTGTGCAGCTTCTGTCGTAACACTACTTGATTTCTCTTTTGTTCAATAGCTTCTGACACAAATTTGAATTTTTATTTATTTTGTACCCTCACAAGACTAATTTTGTAAATATAGTACCATGGAAAATGGTGGATAAAATTAGTTTATTGTAAACCTGAAAATGTGATTATGCCATAAGTTGTGGTTTTACATCAAAAATCTAAACCACCAACCTTTTTGAAACAACTCTAGGGTACTCATGTACAAGATGATGTTCTTTAGCAGTTTAAAGTCATTGTGGACCTTTGTGTTTGACATTTATGAACCAAGTTTTATTTCATTGAAGAATGTATAAGATCTTTGTTGAAAATCTTGTTACAAAAAATAATTAGTTTGTTCAAATTAATTTGTAATACTTGGCGTTATTTTCCTCTGAGGTCAAAAAAAAAAAAAAAAAAAAAAAAAAAAACTACCCCAATGAAGTATCGTCTTTTATAATAAACTCCCTGAACTACAATTTAATATTTGAGTAGCTTACAGAATTTATAAAATGATTTATAGTTTTTCAAAAATATATAAATAAGATGCTATTTTTGTATATTCATTTAAAATTGATGGTTTTGATTTTTTTGTTTTTTTGTTTTTTTGCTGAAATCAAACTAGTTAAAAACCAAGTTAATATGATTCATGAGTATGAAAAGACACTCTGCTTAGAATTTATTTTTTAAGACTAGATATCATAAAATTCTGTGGCTATTTTTTTATTCTAACATTATAGTTTTCAAGGAATTGCAAAAGAAAATTGTATGAATGTGTTCTTTGATTTCGGTTTTAATAGTGTGTTCACTGAATTAAAATTAATGTTTTAAGTCTTACACAGTGTTATTTTTGTGTGAGTAACAAAAGTTTTTTAATATCCATCTTTTATGTAAATTTTTATAGGTTGAAATATTTATGTATAATTTGATGTTACATTTTTTTTTTGATGTTATATTTTATTTTTTATAAATTAATATAATATTAAAAGTGAATCCTTTAGCATATTTTATCTACTGAAACTGGTCACATTCTTAGTTTTTTCGCTTATTTATAAGAATGTGACCATAAACTCTGCAAACAACCCATAACACAGTGAGGCGTTGTTTTGGTCCTACCATTTTGGCTACAAATGCACCAACGAGTCGACGCGATTGTGCACTTAGCGATGTCGGCAATTAGCCTGTGTCGTGTTGGTAAAACCTCTACTGCTCGATAGGTGAGTTGGACGGATTGATTCTCGCTGTGGAAGTGTACGGCTGCGTGAGAATGGTACGCAGAATTCGTTTCAGAAAGTTTGGACAGCTGTGTATAAGCTTTCTTCACTTGGAACTCGTACGACAGCTCTTGTGATTGGTGGGAGTATATTTGTGTGAGGTGTTATGACTATTCGCTGTCAACCAAGGTTAGAGAACAGCATGCTCGCTGAGTTGTGTTTTTGGAAGCTTTAGGGGCTTGTCACGTCCTGGTTGGTTCTCTCGTCGCTCAGGAGCACCCCAGAAGACAAAGGAACCCTGAAGAAAGTATATCGAAGAAATGGAAAAGAAAAACAAAACTCACGTTCCAGAATATCGGTGGCTTTGGTGTGCATGTGGGCAAATTCGCCACACTCCTCGAGGTGCCTTACTCAATTAATCAAGTTGCCGTTCTTAAGTTTTTCTCTGACACCCTCTTTTGTTGAAAATTGGGTCCTTCACACGATATTCAATCGGCCTTGCAGGAGTCCCTGCCGACTCTGAAGAAAACACTTCGAGGTATTGATGTCCATGCCCGAATTATGTGGGCACATTTCAGATATGAGAGATTCCGAGTAGTACAGCACAAAGACACATTCGATGCTCCAGATACTATGTTTTCTCGTTCTCAGCCAGTTGCATCGAAACTTCAACCCTACACAATCTTGCCATTTCTGCAAAAGTAAAATGCACCTTCGAGTAACTCAACAACAAATTGCTGTGGTCTCTCTCTCTCTCTCTCTCTCTCTCTCTTATTTCAGCAAAAATGCAGACACTGGAGCGGGATTTTTGTCCAGTCTGGAGACGGTTACATGCGAAGACTTCCATGTGTGTTTATTTTGTACTTTTGTATTTTATTTTTTTGTGTCATTAAAAAAGCAATGATCTTAGAGGTGATTTTTGAGCACGAAGACTACACAGCAATCATTCTCAGTTACGGAAAGGCATTCAGGCTTCATTCTGCACGAGCGTCTCTGAATGTTGTCATGAGGACGAGATTGTATGTTTGTATGTTTGGATGTCCTTTGTAGTACCTCCATTTGGA